AATATAGTAAAATCTTAGTTGAGATAATAAAGAAGATAAGAATTAGAACAAGAGTAGGTTGAAAGAAAGACTTAAAAGAAAAAACCAGTACTTACTTACAGAAGATAATCTATTTGCCAAATTTAACATAACTGTTTTGACTTAGCCATCACAAATAACACAAAAGTTGGCTTAGTTTAGTAACTGACTTACTGAAATCCAAGATAACAATTTGGTAGTAACTATAAAATAAAACAGTAAACCTGAAACATCACAAGATTAAAAGAAAAAAATAATAAAGTAAGATATAAGAAATGCATTAAATAACAGAAACATTTAGCAAAAACAAGTAAAATATAGAACCCTTCTTAATATTAAGCCAGATATAATAAAAACATATTAAATAAGTTCATACTAGACATAATCTGTAAAAACTTAAGATTATTTAAAAAGTACATTATCTTGCAAAAAAAACAAATTTAATAAAGAAGAAATGCCTAATAATTAAGCTAATAGATGAACTTATAGAAGCAAAAAAGTTGCTAATAGATAATTTTGCAAAAAAAAGACTACTGAAAAGACTAATTAGAAAGCCTAATAACTATATTAAGTACAAAAGTGAAAAAGTGAATATTGTGTACTTACTTTCATATATAAATATTAGCTCTGGTTCTACCTCATGAAGAAAAGAGCTCAAAAGAAATAAAGATAGAAAAATAATAGTGTTTGAAGTATTTGATGTCTATTATGACTCTGATGAATTTGCAAAAGAATCTCTTGGTAGTGATATCTTTGATTCTAAGAAAGAAAAGGCTAACTTAGATCTCTTTCTCCAACAGCTAATTACTGAATGCAAATTTCTTGCATAAAGGTAGGTCTTAAAAGAAGCTATCTAAGAAACTGTACAAAAAAATAACTTGGCCAAGGTAGAACTTGAAAAAGATAAAGATTTAACATTCAACCTTATCCAAAAATCTGTAGAAATAGAAGATGCCAATGCAACATATTATATTGAACCTTGTTATAAAAATAGAATTAAAGTTAAAAAGAACAGCTATCAATTATTAAATATTAATAATAATAATAATGGTAATAACAATAATAATAGTAATAATAATGATGATAGTGATATAATATATGAAAATAATAATAAAAACAAGATTAAAAAGAATAAAAACAAGGAAATTAGAGTTGAAGAAACTGAATATAAAGCATTCAAATATTTCTAGAGTGCTACTAAAAACAAAGATATTAGAATGCAAGGCTATTGATGTTTCACATTAAAGAATTTAGAAAAAGTCTGTGAAGATTGAAATAGAAGAGTTAATAGATTTAAAAGACTAATCTAAGATGATCTAAAAGCATTAAAAGAACTTACTATAACCAAAAAAAATTGCTAATCTGAAGGACCTCCTATTTTAAAATCTAGGACAAATCAAATGATTGAAGTTAAGTCTAGTGAAATAGAAGAAAAATTGGAAAAATTAAAAAAATAGTCCAAGAGAGTTAGTTAAACTCAATTCTCAAAAGAAGCTATTGCTAAAAGAACCCAAGCTAATATCATTAGAAGAAAAGACTGATGAAATTACTAAATATGAACCAAAACCTGAAGAGGCTAAGGAGTTGATGCAAGATAAAAGAAGATTAATTCAAAAGGATATCAATAGCAAAGAAACTGCAATGCAAATTGAACTAGAACTACTATTTGAGAAAGAAGCTAACAATAATGAAAAAAGAGAACCTAAAGATAAAATACAGAAAAAAGAAGTTAGTAAAATAGGTCAAAAACAGAAAGACAAAGAACCAGAAAAATACTTTATTTTATAATTAATTTATAAAGAACCTCACTACCAAAGCATAGATTTAAAATTTCTGTAGCATATCTGTTTATGCATAGTATATATAAACTAAGTAAAGGAGAAATATGAAATCTGAAAACATAATTAATATCATATGCTATAAATTCTGAATATCAAAAATATCAGCTATATCAGATGTATTAAATATATCTGACATATCTGATATATTGCCTATATTGCATAAGTATGATATATTGAATATATATAATATATTAGATAAAATAGGTATGTCCAATAAACTCATACAGAAGGATCTTCAAAATTCTGGGTCAAAATTATTGGATTTAGCCCAGCATTTAGTTAGCATTTAGTAATACAAGTTAACCATTTTTGGGCCAAAATTATTAGCTAGGCAGCTTTACTTAATAAGTGAAATATGGTTTAATTAGTAAAACTTTTAGTGATCTTGGGCAAAATTAGTTAATTCCAGCCCTGCCAAGCATGATTCCAAAGTATTCTAACCCAGAATTTTGAAGATCCTCCTGTATGAGTTATGACCAATATATTAAGCAAGTTCATAATATAAATAAATAAAACAGTTTATTATAAATAAAGAGCAATTTATCTAGTCAAAAGAGAAGTAATTCCAATTACAAAATATAAACTATCTATCTAATTCATAAATAAAATAAAAGTGTTGTCCTATAAAAGCCTAGTGACTATTGACAAATTTTAGTATTAACACTATCTCCCAAGAACAACCAAACTTGTAATTAAGTGCTTGCTATAGTTATGTGACTGGTAAATTATAATGAAAAAGAAGAGTTCTAATCCTAATTTGATATAATAAAATCTTAGTTAAGACAATAAAGAAGATAAAAATTAGAACAAGAGTAGGTTGAAGAAAAGACTAGTACTTACCTATAAAAAATAATCTATTTACTAAATTTAACATATCTGTTTTGATTTAGCTGTCATAAGTAATACAAAAGTTGGCTTAGTTTAGCGACTAACTTACTAAAACCTGAGATAACAATATATTAAAAACATTGATCAAATTAATAATAAGTTAAAAATCATGTAATTGTATTTTTAATTATTAGTAATACTAGAACTTTTAACCTATAGCTGGTTTTTAAAATATAAAATTATAAATTACATTTTTATAAAAAATTAAAAAAAGCTAATATATATATTTAAATTATTATTTTTAATTTATTTTATTATTTGTATAAAAAAGTTTATAATAAAAAATAATTGTTATATTGAAACTGAATTTATAAAATTGAATAAATTGTAATACAATATTAGCTAATTTATTTAATTTATTATGTGAACCAAATATTCATTATTTTATAATATCTTTATTAAAGTTATTAAAACTTTCATTATTAAAAGAATACTTTTTATCAAACTAATTATTTAATTTAAAAAGAATTTTTAGAGTTTTTTATAAAGAATATTTTAAAATTATATATAAACTTAATGATAAATTTTTTATATTTAATTTTATAAAAAAAACTTATATTAAGTAAACTAAGTTTAATAATTAAGTAAAAGTTGTAGAGTAGGTCTTTCTAATTTTAATAATAGTAAACTTATTAAAATAGATTAAAAATTCATTAAAATATGAATTTTTAAAGATTAGAATACAAAATTATATAATAAAATTAACTTATAGATTTATGTAAATTGACTAATCAAATTTTTTATTTTTGTACTATTTAAGAAAATTTTAACTAATTTAAGCAAACTTTATTATATATACAAGTATATTTTTTTTAAAATAATATAATATTTTAAAATTTTATTATAATAGATAAATAATTTTATTTATAATATTGGTAAAATTTTTTTATTAATTAATTAAAAAATAAAAAAGTTTATTAGTAGTATCAATTTTAATTAAAAATTTTAATATACTATATATAATTATATAAAAATAATCTACATGCCTTTTATCTTTAAACTAGGTTATATAATAATAAATTATTTATTGATCTAATATAATTAAATTTAATATTAAAATATTTTTATTAAATTTTGTTAATTTATATATTAAATAAAGTAAAAAAATATTAATAACAATAGTTGTTTTTATTGTTTCTATTGTTATTTTAATTTTTTACTTATTTTATTTTGAAAATTTGAAGTTTTTTATTATTTAATAACTTTAATAAAATATTTAAAACTATGTAATATATTATATAATTGAATTATATCTTTTTTAATTTTATTTAATATAACACAAAATAAATAAATTAAAGTTTCTAAATTCTGTAAATTATATTACCATTGTTCATTATTAATTGTATCTCAAATTTTAAATAAAATTTCTTTAGATTTTACAGAATTTTTAATAACTAATATTTATAAATAAAAATAAATTAATAATAATAAAATTATAAAAATATATAATATATTATATATAGTTTTTATCTTTAATACAATTTTTGTTTTAAAAATACTTTTAAAACAATAATAATAACTATCCAATAAGTATTATTTAGCATCATTAGTACAATATATTTTCTATAAAGTTTTTGCTATTTTATATATAATTTAGCTAAAAAATATGTTGACTTATTAAAAAAAGTAATTAGACAAATAGCTTTGCTAGAAGTTTCTACAAACTAACTAGATATTTTAAAAATATTTCCTATACAAAGATTTATTTGATATGTAAAATAAAGTAAAAAAACTTTATTTCTAATATTTTTTGTAATTATTTTCTAAATTAAAATATTTATATTAATAATAATAATAAAGTATATATATTATAGTTTAATTAAAATTATCTTGCTGCAACATTTTCTAATGCTGAATCAGTAACTAATACTATAATTTTAATAATTTTATTATTTGCTTTTTTAAAAAATTTGACAACAGATTTGTAAATATTTGCTAATTTTGTAAATTTTTACTTATATCTTTTGCTTTTTATATTAATAGTTTTTTATTTGAAGTAATTAATACAATGTCTAATATATTTTGCTTTATAATGTTTTTTCAACTATCAAATGCTAATGTTACATCTTATTTATCAATTTGTGCTACAGATATAAGATAATTGCGAACAGTTTTTTTTCATTATCTAAAATTTTTTTTGCTAAATTAATGTGATTAGGTAATTTTATAGATGGATTTGTCTTCTTTACATGAGTATTATTTATCCATCTAAAAGCAACCCTAGTAGATATTATAACATAAAGAATTGACTGGTTAAATTTTTTCTGATCATATGTATATATTGGCTGTGTTATTAAATTATTTAATTTTTTTTTTTTTTTTAAATCTTTAATGGCAAAGAAATCTGACTTTGAGATGAAGAACATGAATTTTCTCCATCATCTTTATAATCTAAAGGTTGTACAAATTTTCTATCTAAATTTAATATTTTTTCATATTCTTTCGGAGTAACTTCATTTTGAAAAGCTTTACAATCACGCAAATGATTTTTGCATGTGTTTTTTATATAACCAAATTTTAATTCAGATTCTTCTTTATCAGGATATGCACGCTTACACGATCGGCAAATTGCAAAACAATGTGTTGAATTTGCTTTTTCGTCTGAAAATATAAAATACGGATGTTGTTTTTTACCATATTTAATTTTACGTTATGTGTAAACATGTATGACAATTTAACAATTTATATTTTAACTAATTATTTTTAAACCTAAAGTTAAAAGCATATTGTGATATTAGCACTAAAAATCCAACATTTTTAAGGTGTTAGAAATATCAAAGGATAAGATTTCTAAGGATTATGTTCTTGTTATGGAAGTGGCAGAAAAAGGATCAATATTGTCTCTGTAGCACAAACAGAATGGAAAGATAAATTAACTTTGTTGCACTGTATTGCTTTTGATCTTCAAATAATTCATTCTCAAAAACTTATTAATCGAGACTTACATAGTGGAAATGTTTTCCTAACTATATTAAACAATGCATATATTGGTGATTTAGGACTTTCCGAACCAATAAACAAAGGCTCAAGAATAGAAATTGATGTGGTTTGTGGAAATTTATCATATATAGCACCAGAAATTATTTAAAAATAGAAATCCGTATACTAAAGCATCTGATATTGATTCATTTGGCATAATTATGTGGGAAATTTTGTATGGAATACCTGTGAATACGTTTTATAACAAATTATATGGCTCACATTTACAAGAAAAAATAATATTCGATAAATTAAGGCCACCAATTTTTGAAGATATAGAAACGTCCATCTGTAAACAAAGTCGTAGAAGCTTTTACAAAATGACAAAATGAACAAATCTTATTTGAATTATCCAAGTCCGGTGAAAGATTTATACAATTAATGAGTCAAATAACAAATGAAAAGATTGTTTATTCAGATGAAACTTATTCAGATAAAATTTACTCTGATTTTATAAGCGTTTTAATGATTCCTTATAATTTTATTGTTTTTGTATTTCAAATTCATTTATGTAACTGAAATATCAAAATGCAATTGGCATAGTAAAATATTGAGTTGTTTTTTTTCTCGAATTTTTTAAATTACACATGACCTTATGACTTTATTTGCTACAATCAAAAATTCCTTGCAAAATTTTGCATTACCTGAACCTAACCTAATAAAGATGCCGGTAAAATAAAAAGTTCTGGCATCAAATCTCAAATCATTCCCGAAGATTAATTGTCACATTGCCAACAATCAGTAATTATGGTTGCTAACAATCTATGCGATAATTAATTTTCGGGAATCTGATTTTATGAAACTAATTTTACCAATATATCTGAATTTAAATAAACTGCAATACAACCCACTGGTAATGAGTAATAATTTTTAAAAAGATTAAAGATTGATAAATTTTTTATTAATATAAATTATGCATCAGTTTAAAGTTTTGCCGTGTCACTTACCCTGTTCCAAACACCACGTGTAAAAAGATTATGAACTTTGTTTGAGTTACGAAGAATCTTTAGTTTCTTTTATGTTATATCTAATGTTATATTTAATTATTAAGTAAACTAGCGTTCTTGTAAAATAATTCGATGAATCGTCTCAATGGGTTTTATGCTATATGTCAAGTTACGGCTGCGACAAAAATCGCATGAACCCATTGCTTCATAATGGTATATTATGTGTAACTAATTAATTGAAGTCATAGATATGACAAAAATTTTAAAAAAGTGACATGGGATTTTAAGAAATCCTTCGTTATAGAAATGGATAACTTTATATAAATTTCTTTTGCTAAGAATTTCTAACAGTTTATTTTACAAATTCAATAAACCAACTTATAATACTAAAAAAATATTATACGTACTAATTACGACGTAATACATCAGTTGCATCTCAAGCTACATTATATGTTACATTTGTAAGTTTCTTCTGTGTTACCAATTTAAAATTTACTAATCTAGTGTTGGCCAATCAAAAATTTTTAATGTTACCATTTATTTCGAAACACATAAAGAAAGCTAAGTTTTAAAAATTGAATTCTTAGTTTTTTTTAGTTGTATTCCAAAGTAACACAGTAGGATGCTGTTTTATTGACCGGTGGCTTCTATTAAAAAAAAATTAGATTATTTATAATAGAATTTTCGATTCAGGTTTTAATTAACGTTAAAGGTTCTTATAGAAAAGCATAACTTCTATATAATTTTACTAGGAGCAATTTGAGCAAAACTAAAGTGTTTATAGTATAAGCTATTACATTAATTTACTTTTAATACAAATAAATAATAACAATCAGAGTTTCTTTAGATAAGTCTCAACTTTCACGTAAGCAAGTACATATTACAATAATAAAGAAATAGCATCTTTTATTTTTAGCCAATAGGAAATTGTTTTTTTTACGCGATTAATCATGTGAACGTTTTTTGTTACAAATATATTCGTTTATAACACATCACGTTAATCATGTGAGCGTGATGCGCGTGTTTTAGAAATACAGATATATAGACGCGATTGTTGATTGTTTTGGTGATCAATCATGGGATTAATCGATTAAATTTTTTATATAAGTTGGAAATTTTTGTTTTTTTTAACGTTAAGCTTTTTTTGAATTTTTTTTGCTTGAGGTTCACTGTTTCCGAAAAAGGTTACAGTTATGTAACTTCCTTAAGCATCAAAAAAGCTAAGCGTCGGCGGCGTCGTAAGTTGGAACATCTTCATAAAGTTAGAACACCCTTATAGAGTTAGAACACCCTTATAGAGTTGGAACACCCTTATAGAGTCGAAACACCCTTATAAAGTTGGAACACCTTTAATAAAAAAAAAACTAACGTTTAATACAATTTTTAGTTTATTCAAGTTTTCCGTTGAATTATTTTTATTTTCGACATACGAAGGATACATTTGACTTAAAGTTATAAAAAGATAAGTAAGTTTTTATTAATTTGTTAAAAATTTATTTAAAGGACGTAACTTGGTTAAGGTTGGTTACGACACTTATGTGCGAGATAGGGGCACATAAGTATACTAACCTATTATTTTTTTTATTATAATATTTTAGATATTGACGAACTTGGTATAACTATTACGATTAATTACAATAATAATATAATTAATATCAATTTATATAATATTTGTTTTAATTATTATTTGAATTAAATAAATTATGTATTATTATTAATTTTGTTTGTGTATAATAATTTAATTTATCAATCAAAATAAACTATATGCTTATTCAATTTCTTATTATTCGTGTTTATTTAGTAGTTAAATCAATAAATTATTAGAATTTCAATTTATATTTTTGTTATCAATTGGTTCAATTTAGAGTTAAAAGCAATTAGAGATACAGACATATTAACGTAATAAGTTCATAACTTTACCTTAACCGTTAATATAAAAAGTTGTCAACCTAGTCTTTACAATTAATACAACGATATGTCTGCATTTATAGCCAGTGTTAACAAGGCTATCATGTCTAATTGTTTTCCAAGTCAATTAAACATATGTTCAAATTAAATTGGTCAACTTAGTCTATAACTGAAATGTAATTGTAAATTGTCAAAAATTATAACCTTTTTATTACAAAAGTTTGCAGTTCCAAATAATGATTTTAAAATTTTCTAAATATTATGGCATAATTACGGGTTTAAACACTAGTGATTTTATAAATAGGTAGGTATATCGATGCTTAAATTTTGTGTATTGAAGACTTGAATGACGTAAATATATAGACATACGATAATCTTATGTAACGAATCTAATTCCTTCCTTCTGATAAACAAATGTTAATTGTATAGCCCGTGATCTATAATTAGTTTTCGTGATGTAACATCGACCCTTATTACTCTATTCATGCCTCAATTGCATCCCACCAATATTAATGTTAATTAGAGTAGTTAGTTTCAATATAGTAGTTGTGGTTTTATATTTGTTATACCATTCCGACTCATATCTGTCCTGGGGCCATGTATATAACAGATATACATAATGTTGTCAATTTTTGGCACTCAGAAAATGTGTACCGGGTTTGTAAAAGTCATTAAGGTTAGGGTCAAAGTTAGGAGTTAGAGTGAAGTAACGAATTTTTGATTTTTGAGGTATGAGCGATTTTTGGCAGAGCAAACGTATGTTTTTGAAATCTGATTCGTAAACTCGGTACACATTTTCGAGTGACAATTTTTGTTTTATTGTGTTCTATTGATAAAAATTATATTCTATTCTAGTTTCTATTATTTTACTATCAATATTGGATATACGATAGAAATTTACCATAGGTGGGTTCGTGATTTTAATGATAAACTAGATATAACCTGTCACTTCGCTGACTGATTAAATTTATAGATAGCGTTACAGTCATAGTAAATATGTATAAGCTAAAATATATAGTGGCAATATTATAAAATAATAAAAGTAAGTAAGATGTAAGTTAATAAACTAAGAAAATAATTAAAATATTTATTATACAAAAATATAGTTTGGCGCTTTATGATATTAAAATATTAATAATTATACAATCATCATCTTTTGGCTTCAGGCAAAGCTTGTCCTGAAAAGCAATTGGACAGTATGCCTAATATTATTCCAAAGACTTATATATTTTTCTTCTGAAAGATCCTTTAACTAAAGTTTCTAAGAATTAAAACTTCTTATATTAACATTTTGTTTTAGTAAATAATATTCTTCTCAATGATCATTGATTTTTATTTTTATTTATTTTTTGTTAAAGGCCATACTTGTGACGATACTTTATTGACTTATATTAGGTTAGCTATTACAACTATTTTTACAGAGATAAGAGTACAGCTAGTCACATGTGCAACTTTTGATTGCTTATTTAAGTAGTCCACCCTAAGGTTCTATACTAGATGCCATACCTATAATTTATTAGAAAATTATCTATTTTAAACCTTCTGATCATCTGCTCTGTCATATTGGAATCCCCAACTAACCTTCCATATATACCTAACTGGTATACCATCTGAGTAGTATGGTTACCTACCTTTTTTGTACTGGTTCCCAGATCATTACACATTTCAAAGTACATCATCTGCCAGTAAGGCATAGGGAACCTTCCATTGTTAACTATCTACTCATTTTTAAAACACTAATATGGGTTACCCTTATAGAGTTCACCCAGATCCTAGTACTGACTTCACAGCATATCCTTAGTACTTTTAATATACCTCTGCTTTGAACCCAGATTTCCAATCCAGATAGCCTAGAAGGACTGTGACCTGTCTTTAATATATTGAGGTTAGCCTAATATCCTTTTCTCTGGTCTGAAATCTAGCAACCTAGTTGGTAGTACCTCTTACCTGAGGTTTTTGCCTGCCCAAATCCTTCACATTGATATTCATTTTCTAGATCTAGCCTTTATAATAGTACTGTTAAAGATTCATGTTACCTCTCTGCTTAGAATTTTCAAGTAAGCTTTGGCTTCTCAGTTCTATGGATTTACATAGCCCGAGAACTTATTTTAGGTTTGTACTATCTAGTACCAGTTTGCATTCCTCTGTATAACAGATTACACAAATGCTTTAGATCTGCCAGTTATGCTGGTACAACTATAGTTACAGGTATCCTATCCCAACTGATCGACAGAATTTTGTTACCATAATATTGTCTATATATTACATAGGTGATTATCCAAATTTTGTCATTAGTAGGTTTTGAACTCACTACCTACCACTTGAAGGTATAACAACTTATCCATTTTATTAAGTTATCACCTCTGATCATTTATTTTTATTTTAGTATTTATTATATTAGGTTTATCATAACTAAATAAAAAAATTATATTTT